GAGGGGGAACCCATATTCCCTTCCGGAGGTTGTGGTTTGGGTTCCCAGCGAGGCCGTGAGCTCAGCTCTGCCACAGCTGCTCTGGTAGCTGCTCGGTAGGAACTGGAGCAAAAGCAACAATTTTCTGCCTGAGAATTGGGTTGTTTGGGGTTAATTTGATGAGATCGGAGCTGGAACTGGGCTCTGGAGATGGAATTGCTCAGCTGGAGCAGTTTCAGGCTCGAGGTAACACCGCTGTCTGAGAATGCACCACACACCCAGCCCAGGCAGCACTACAGGTCGCTCCGATACACAGGCTGGGGCATGGAAGAGGCTGAATCTCTGGATATTTCTCAAGCAGAAAATAGAAATTATTTCAGTGTGGTAACGGGAAACCAGAGCCAGCAGAGGTGGACTGGTGGCAAGCAGCTGGTTGTGCAACTCACAGCCAGAGCAGAGGAGGCATTTTTAAATGCTCAACAAGACAGGTGGCAGCCAGCCCTGTCGCAGGAGCCGTCCAGCAACATGCAGCTGCCACCGATGCAGAGTGTTGTGCAGCCTGGGCAGCAGCCTCCAGTGTTACCAGGACTACATGGCACATCCCGGATCTGGGGAGGTGGGTGCTGCAAGCTGACTTGCTGCCCTTGGGGAGGGACGGGCAGGCCCCGGGGTGTGCTTCCCTGGGCCCCAGCACCCGTTCCCCTTGGAGGGACGGCCACAGCTCCTTTTCCACCCCTTCCCTCCCTCATTTGTAGTTAATCCACGCTGAGGCTCAGCTGTCAGAACAAGCGGTGCACAGGCGGCTGCACAGGGACAGACTCTGCCACCTCCCGGCAGTGGCACAGTCGTGAGTGCTGGAGCTCAGACATCCCACATTGCAGCCAGCCCTGCTCTCATCACTTGTTAGACCACGGGGTTTGGGTAAGCACAGACAGAACCCACTCAGGTTGCCACTATTTGGCCTTTCTGACCCCAAAACCACTAGCAGGAGCCAGGCTGCACAGCCCCGGGCTGCGGGAGGAAGGACACAGCTGCATCCTGGCCGGGCTGGCACAAACACTGCTGTAGCAGCTGTGCCCTGACCCCGCAGCGAGAGATCTGAGGCCTCCCCAGACCTGCTGGGTGAGAGAGTGAGAAAAGCGGGGCAGTGGGCAGCTGGGGCTGGCTGGCGGGAAGGGAGGGGCCCCACCCCCCGGCCCTCCATCCCCGTGCGGCCGCAGCCTCGCCCGGGAGTCACACACTCACCCGGGCAGCTCCAACACTGCCAGAGCTGTTTTAACATTCACTTACTGCGAACCAAACAGGCCAAGCTGCTCTTTTATTAACTCTACAGCATGCCAAAGGGAAGATGCTTTTTCAGCTCCCAAACCTCAGCAGTTTAACCCACTACAGGGAACTTCAGCCTTTCGTCTTCCTGCTTGTGCCTCTGCAGCAACTGTCTCTTCCCCTCAAACAGCACGATGCCAGCAGCGATAGCGGAGTTCAAGCTGTCCACACCTGGCACCACGGGAATGACCAGTCTCTTCCCCCCAGTGCTGGCTGCGAGGTGAAGCGCATCTGGACTCAGACCGTGGGTCTCTCCGCCGATCACCACTGCCACTGGAGTCCGTGTCCAGCTCTCATAGTAATACTGCGCAGCCAGCTCTGGGATGCAGACTCCCGCCACTCCCTCCTCATCCTCATGCTCAGGAGCAGCCTCAGGTTTGGATTTCACAGGAGCTTTTGGGTTGCCAGGAGCAGAGCCAACCCCGCCAGCTTCCCTCGGCACGGACACGGTCTCAGCCTGAGTGCCTGGGTCTCTGTTGTCGGCCACGCAGACCTGGACGCCGGCAGGCAGGTTGCTGGGAACAGATTCCCAGTCCAGGTTGGCAATGATGGGCAGACGGAAGTGAGCTCCCATGCCGGCACGAAGCACCTTTGGCTCCCACGGATCCACACAGCCTGAGACAGAAGGGAGGAAAACAGTGACGGTGCAGCAGCTCCCACTAAGACGGATTCAGCAGCCACTGCTTCCCGCAGCAAATCACATCTGGGCTGGGCACTGGTTACAAACTCTTGGGAACATCATCTTGAAGCGCCTTTTATTCCCTGCCTTACCCCCAAATTACTCAAACTAAACTTTTTTTTTTCCCCAGGAAAAGGCTCTTACCTTTGGTGAGCAGCACTTTCTCACAGCCTGCTCCTGCTGCAGATCTGAGAATAGTTCCCAGGTTTCCTGGATCTCGGATATTGTCGCAGATGAGGAGCAGTGGCAAAGAGCTGGTTAGCTGAGCAGCAGGGTAAGACATCTTGGCATGGTCAGGCTTGGAAAAGATCCCTGAGGAGACAAAGTGCTGACAGGCTTCTGACTAACACAGGAGAGGGCTGATCTGATTTACTTGGCCCAAATCTCTCTACAGATGTGCTGGAGAAAGCGTTAGGAAAAGCACCGCTTAAAAGAAGCTTGAGAAGAGTTTGTCACTTTACAAGGAGAACTATTTCCCAGCAGAGCTGGAGCAATGTGCTATTAAAAACGAGCGTCAGCACCTTCAGTGCACTCTTGGAGCCACTTTCACAGGTACCACAGCAGGCCGAATAAAAGGGAATGATCTCAGATTATACCACTCTTGACACACTGCCAGCATGTGTAGGGGAAGGTTATGGAGAGAGAGTCATTATCCACTTACTAAGTATGAAATAAGTTTCCCTTTGAGCAGTGCTGTGACTGTTTCCAAGGCAACTTACCTATAAGCCCCTGAGGAGTTATAACATCAGACCAGCTCTTAATGTCTTCAAATTTCACCTTAACTAAGTTGGCTCCTTTTAGCTCTGCCTCGGGCAGCTCCTTCAGCTGCCCCACCGTGCTGAAGAAGAGAGTCTGCAGCACAGCTCCTGCCTCCAGGGCGTCCTTGATCAGCCTGTGCCCCTCCAGCAGAACCTTCCTGTGATGATCCCGAAACTTCTTCGACTTGGCGATAGTCACCACCTTTCTGCGGAGAAGTTAATCAGAGAAAACGGCTGTGACTCCCAACACCTCCAGTCTGACGTTTGCCACGGAGAACTTCCCTCGGGAGCCCCCCCGGTACTTCGGACGGGCTGGAACGGGCATCGCCGCATCGATCTCGCCCCAGAGCCCCCCCAGGTGTCGGCGTTTCCCTCGAAATTCCGCCGCCGGGCGGCTCCACCGGGGGCTCGGAGCGGGG